GGGGGAGAACGTGGATCCACTCTGCCCTTCTGCTGGTGCTTGCTCCGGGGCCTGCCAGCTGTAGGCCACTCAAGGCGTGGGCGAAAGCTGCCACGCCGAAAAGAGCCCCCGGCAGAGAGCCACGGATCCCCCGACGCCACGTGGACCAAGCCGCTGGCGGGAGCTCCCTGACACGCCCCAGCCGCTTGGGTGGCATCCCAAGGAGGACTCGGCCTAGGACGGGGTCCAGACGAAAGCTGCTCTGTGGCATGGCCACGGCGGGGCTAATTAGCAGGGAGGTTGAATGTGTGAGCTGGAACTCGGTGGCCTCTTCAGAAGGAGCCTCACGCCACAAGCTGGATGCAAACAGCTGAAGGCGCCATTTCTATAATCCGTTCCCTGTGGCCCGGGGCTGATTCCCGGGGCTAACAACCCCAGACAGACGTGGGACCACGCATAAAAAGCCGCTCAAAGTACCCATCTATTGCCACCGTCGCCATAACGTCAAAGCACCTCCCACTGCGGTATCCTCACCACACCCCAGAGGCTAAGAGACAGGCCCAAGGTCACACAGGAAGGCTGTGGCAGGGCAGGGCCCAGACTGAAAGTTCCTCAAATCCCTGCTCAGCACCCAAATCACTAGACTGTCCTTCCTCTCTAAAGCACCTTCCGTCGGTTTGGATCTGAGGGACATTTGCTCCCCAAACTAAAACCTGGGAACCCGAGTGATGTGGATTTCCTCCAGCAAAGCGGAGCCAGAATACAGGGTGGTGCGCCCGGCGCGCTGGTAGGCCGGCAGTAGCCCTCTACATTTGCCATCCATTCCTTTACGCAAAGCTGGCCACATTCACCCGCAGTGAGTAAGTCGAACGCTGCCGGAAAGTTGCCGTGAACCGGGGATGGGCCCGTGGGAGGAGCCGTCGGTGGAGCCTGCGTCAGCGGCAGGAACGTATCCTCCAGGAGCCCCGAAGGCCTGAGCAGCGGAATCCAACCGCTTGGAGCGCAAGTGTGTCAGGGCAGAGGCGGTCTTGTCACTGTGTGCGTCCAGCGCCTTGCACACCGGGCGGGGGCCTCTCGGTGCCACCAGGATCCAGAGAATGGAGACACCCGCTGTCTCCACGCCCAGGAGAGACCCCATCCGCTCCCACCCTGCAAACCCCTGAGCACTCCCCGCACGCTGCCTACACGCCACCCGGCAATCTATGTGCCCAGCCCTGGCCGGGTTGACTGAGTTGGGTTTGGTCCTGCCTAGGGCAGGGGGTGGACTTGGTGACTCCTGAGGTCTCTTCCAGCTCTATGATCGCCCCATCTCCTCCCTGCAGCCCTGGCCCGGTGCACGCTCCTCACTGCGCCCTGTCGCCCGCCTTTCCTCTGCCAACCTCCCCTGCGGCCTGGCTCCTTCCTCCCCCTCCGCCCAGCGGCGCCGGGCACTGCCCCTCCCTGGAAACGCATCTGCCTCGCTGTCTCTCTGCTTTACGGGAAACCCCTCCAGAGAGCGGAGCCGGGGCCTGGGGCCATTACAGCGGCGGCGGAGCTGCCTCGCCCAGCTCTAATGGGCCCCGGCGGCTCATCGGAGCACAGCTCCCGCCGAGGACCAAGTCCGGTTGCTTGCTCTGAGGCCTCAGGAGTCTCAGGGGCCGCGGCTGGCGAGGGAAAGGAAAGAGCCTTTTCCCAGCCCGTCTCCTTCCTCCGCCGCCTCCCCTGCTCGCAGAACCTCCCCCCTCCGAGTGTCACAGGGCGTCACCGGAGACTGTGTCGTCCAGTGGTCAGAGCCCCACCTCCAGGGTTCTAGTCCCAGGCCCAGAGCCCAAGTCCTTGAAATCACTGCTGGAGCCCCATGCGGGCGGCTCTCAGGGCTGGGGGGAGCCGGTGTAGTGGGCTCCAGGCAGCGCTGGGGTGTGAGTGTGTTTGCACAGACCCTGCCCCTTTTGCCCTCCCCCCCGGCTGGCGTGGCGGTCGGCTCCCCCGGAGCACTGTCAGCACACTAGCTCTTTGCCTGACTCTGAAGAGGAGGGGGTGCAGTGGAGGTCGAAGTCAGGCCTAGCGGATTCTCCTCCCAGCTCTGTCTCTGAGTTCAGCAAAGCCACTTCCCCTTCTGTGAAAAATGGGACAGCACCGATGGGCCCGCTACGGTTTTTTCCCCAGCCACGTGCTCACTACACCCAATGAGCACTCCCTCCCCATAGTTATTCAGCAGTGCTGGGCTTCCTACAGCTGGACTGAAGGGCTGCCTTTCTGCAAAACAATAAAATATGTAATTTGACTGCCTTCTTTACATTCATTTTATGCCACTTGCTGTGCTTGCTGTTTCACTGTTCAGTGTTTGAGCATTTAGTCATTCCCTTTACCAAGATTTACAGGAAAAGGGCTATTGTTCCTGTGCTTCCTAGTCACTTAACAGTAGTTCCTGAATTTCTAGTTGTTGTCTGTTTAAAGAAAACATTTTTGAAGAAAATGATTGGACTTGAATCGTGACATTATGAGTCTTGTAACTTCAGTCAGCATGGATTTGTTCAACTTTTGAACTTGTAGCCCGCTGAAAATGACCTTTTCCATTGCTGGTATTTAACCCTATATATTTACAAAGGGTTCTAATAAATTGTTGATAGAAAATCTGTCCCTGCTCTTCCAACTATCAATATTACCAACCAGGAGTTGGAGGGACACAACAATATGCATGTTGTATGATATAATGGAGTTTTTGCATGTATCCAACAATATTAATCTAACACAAGGGTAAGGAAACTTTTTTGGGTCAGGGGCCACTGACGCTCAGAAAAATCAGTCAGGGGCTGCACACAAGTGAGTAGGAAAACAAAACCCAACATCACTGATGTGGCCCCTGACTGAGAAGCAGAAAGACACTCCCCACATTCCTCTAGCACACCAGTGCCTAGAGGGGCAAGGCTAGTAAATTTTGTGGCTAAGCTCTGGGGTGGAGTCAAAATGGGGAAGTGGGTTGCCAGGAAGCAGACTTGAGGTGTAGGGTCTGGGCAGAAGGGAGGATGCAGGAACTCCAGAGGGAAGATCCAGGCAGCCAGGGGCCACACATGGCCCCTGGGCCATATGTTCCCCACCCCTGAGCCGTTCGCCCTGGTGCAACCAGGTGCCCGGGATGGGTTGCAGCGTAGACAGGCCCAGAAGAGGGGGCAGGGGCTGAGCACTGATTTCAGGGATGAGGAATCAGGGAACCCGGAAAAATAACGATTCACCCGCCAGGGGCTGGGGCGAAACCCGGCTGGGTCTTTTCTGATCCCGGTTCCCACCATCCTCGCGCCTCTCCCCCCCCGCAATCTGAATCGGCCAGTGTCAGAAAAGGCCTCCCCCCAGCTGGATTGCAGACCCGATCCTGTCTCAGGCCCTGCCGGGGCAAAGCCTTTCCCCACCCCCGGGTTTCCAAGAAACGGGGGGCTCTGTCTTTCCCACCCCCTCCCCCGCCCGGCTCCAGAGCCCCCCGGTGCTCGGCTGGAGTGGCCTCCGCGAGGGGCCGATTCTCAGAGGAACTGTGCTTTAATGTAGCAATTTGATTCAATTTTCCACTCTATAAAATTACCCATCACTGCTCGTTGCTTCCTAACAGACACCTTCACTCTTAATTTAACAATCCTATCGAATTCTGCCAGGGAAATTGGAAAAATTTATCACCTGTGAAATTTTATTTTTCCTTGGTTGTATCTGTTTTTGTAAAACTTCATTAACGACGATGACTTGCTGAGGAAATTATCTCCCCCCCCACTTTTTTTTTTTTAAACTTGGGACAAGAGAAAAAAAAATAGCTCGACCTCAGCAGAGACTGATATTTGCATAATAAAAACCACAGGCAGCGGGGAGAGTCCGGGGGAGGGAGGCCTGGAGACAGCAGAGCCATCCTCTGCAAGGTATCCCCCTGGCTCAGGGTCCCAGGGCCTCACAACACCCCGGGCAGGGCAGGGCAGGGCAGGGCAGGGCTGTTCTCCTCCCTGCACAGATGGGAGGCGCGAGAAGCTAAGAATTGCCCACGGTCACACACAGTCTGGCACCGAGCTCTGCAGCTCCGACCCGCACAGCTGGACCAGCCTTCCTCTCCAAACCATCAACTCTTTACAGTCCCCAGATACCTTCCTCCTGGGACCCAACGTTCCCTCCTTTTTTTCCATCCACGTGCGGGACGCATTTTGTTCTGTGCACCGAGGCAAGTGCGGATGCGCCGGCGTGAGCTCCTCAGCGGGGCGGCACTTGGATCTCACCCAAGCACCCGGCTTAGAGGGAACCCGGCACCCCCGTCCAGTGAACGCCGAGCAATCGTGGGAGGGCCGGTGGCTTGGTGGTGCTGAATCTGCTCTCCAGGCCCAAGGGGGGAGGCGGGGTGCAGTGACTCTAACCCACCCGCCTTCTCATAGCACCCCCGTGCCCCTGGCACAAGACAGGGCCGGTCTGGCAGGAGCCCCACGGGCAGAGGGGGGAGAGAAGGTCTTTTGTGGCTGCGGGGGTGGACAGCCCACGTCTCCGCTTCCTGCAGCTGCTCCAGTCC